TTATTTGCTGAGGAAAAGTCAGCAGACAACGGAGCTGTGTTGAAAGAAACCCTTCTGCAATGCCTCTCCCTGCAAAGCCACAGAGAATGGGCAGTCGGAAAGGTCTCCTGGGTGTGCAAGGGGTTTGTAGACAGGACAGTGTCCAACTAATTTTAGTGAGAAGAAGTTCTCATCCTTTTTGATCCCTGCACTTCACTATCACCCTATTTCCCCCTCCTCCCCCCCCAAAGAGATACATCTTTGTGGCTTGCTTATTCCTGAATGGAGACGCTCCCACAGTAACGGTGGTATCACATGAGGCCTGGGTAAGAACAATGCTTTGTCCTGTGTCCTCTAGACATGAGAATTTGGGGGCTTTCTGGCAGATTTTTGTTACGTGGTATGTAAATTCTCCCATCCTGTGTAAGAGTAATGCAGCTGGAAGTGGATCCAACTAATCAGTGCTCCCTCTTTACTTTGTGTCACTCATTGCTCCAGATACCTACAATGTTGCCTTCTTCAACAGAAGACCAGATGCCCCTCACTCTGGAGAAGTTCCAGGTGGGGAACGCCACTGTAGTTAGGGTTCTCCCCTTTCTACTGCAGGACTCTAGTGACTTAGCCAAGTGGTGTTTAGGTTCTCAGTCCTCAGCATGAACATCTAAGAGACGCCATTCTTTTGAGAGGCGCCCTTAGTAATGAAATCTCCCCCAGCTTCTTTTATTCCACAGGCAGGGGACTGCCTGAAAGGAACAAACACTGTGTCGACACTTCTGCAGCACAAAGCAAGGAGCTGTACTCCCATCCCGTGCAGCTGTGGGCTGCTGGAAGGATGTTCTCATCATGTGGTGGAAACCGTGTAATTCTCCTCTTCCACCTCCTACCCAGCATTCATATGCAGGCTTGGCACAAACCATTCAACGCCATGTTGTCATGGTCCACCAGGGTCTATGAGAGAGACTACGTGCAACAGAGGCAGCTCAATGATACCAGAAGTGGCAGCAGCACCACCTTAATCTGCATGGTGTCCTCAGGTGCAGAGCACCTGGAAAGCTCAGGCCTTTTCTCACCAGTCCATGAGGGCAAGACCCTCCAGACTCACTCCATCTGCTACCTTGGAGAAGAATCCCTCTTTTGTGCTGGGCATAAGAAAGCCAAATGTTACAGAGCAAGAGAATCTGCTAAGTGCAGCCAACTTCGAGTGCCTGGATTCCTTAAAGAGGAATCTGGAAAACTTCCCTGTTTATACACCTGCCATCTTTTGACTTATGCCTCAGAGGATGAGGTACCCAGGAGGCAGCTTGGACAACTAAATTTATTCCTGAAGCCTGGACTAAATCCTGGCTATCTGCAAAACATCTGTAAGTGACACATCTGGTTACCAGCTGCCGTAGCCAGCGAAATACTGCACAAGCTGAAATACCCGAGTGCAAGACAGACAAAGTAGTGTGTGCACTGCTATACAGCCCTCTGCAAAGCTTGCCACAGGCTAACATGCTCCTTGCACGAAGGGGCCATGCTGTTTCTCTTCAGATGCTGTGGGCACTTGGGCAAGGACAATATTTAAATCCTAACCCATCTCCCATGTGGGTGGCCAATGACTGACTCCTATTAAAATCACATGAGAAGAATATTCTCATGGCTGCAGTTTTCAGCTTAATTAACTTCAGATGAAAAGCAACTGAAGTCCTTAATAAACAGCAGGATGGGATTTTCAAAGGCACCTTTGGCAGTTAGGTGCACACTTCAGCAGGGCGTGGGTGGACTCTTTTGAAAATCTCATCCGAAGTCCCTATTCCCTCTTAAGCAACCCCCGCAAGCCCATGTTAGCAATGTTCCAGTCACTTCAAAAAGAACAGATGCCAGTACTAGCTGTGCTTTAGCTTGATGGCATTAATTGTTCTGGGAAGGCCTTTGGCTTTTGTAATTCTCCTCAGGCGTGCCGGCATTCACAGTCATTTCTGAAATGACTCTGCTGGTTTGCACGGCTTCTTGTGGTGTAATTGTTACAGCCCAGTCCTGGGCAGTTGATTGGAGCAGTGTCAGTGTACAACAGCAGCTCCTTAAGAGTGACAGGCAGTGGGAAATCCAGAGAACAGCGTGCCTGGTATTCACGTCTGGTTCCTCTCCACACAGACCTTTCCCATCCCCAGTGCTCTCCCCCTCCCCCAAGAGGAAGTGTCTCAGGATGCAGGCCATTCTATTTTGACATTAAAAGGGTCTAACAACAGAGCTTACAACTGCAGACCCCAACTACTAAGGCAGGGGTTCTCAAGCTTCGTTGCCCCGTGACCCCCTTCTGACAACAAAAATTACTACGCGATCCCAGGAGTGGGGACCGAAGCCTGAGCCCACCGGGGGGTGGGTGGGAGACAAAGACAAAGCCTGACTCCACTACTGGGGGGGCTCAGGGGCCTGTAACCTGAGCTCTGCCACACAGGGCTGAAGCCCTAAGCCTAGGCTTTGGCCGCAGCAAGTCTTAGCCAGGCCTGGCAACCCCATTAAAACAGGGCCGTGACCCACTTTGGGGTCCCGACCCACAGTTTGAGAACCGCTTTACTAAGGGATCCTGGTACTTTCTAACCCAACAAACGTCCCCATCTTGACATCTAACGACCAGCTTGTCAGTCTTTTTTTACATCTTTGCACATGCAAACTGACTAGCCGCTATCTCCAATTAGCCAAATACACACTTGACAAACAAGCAGCCGCTATTCTGATTCTTACTCTGTTTGGAATTTGGTCTCACACCAAACATTCAACTCCACAGTCTGTCCTTTGTGGATGTCGGGATGCTCATACACTTGCTCACACTCCTTTCATTCAATCTTGCGCTGGTGGCAGTAAGATTAAACGTTTGCTAGGGCCAAATCACTGCATCAAAGAGTTCACCTCACAATACTGCACAACCAGCAGCCGGCATGTTTTGATAGTGGGATTATTTTCTTGTAATTCAATTCCAGGCACAGTTTGTTTAAGCAGCTTCCAACATTTCTCTCCCCCCCTCCTCTGGAAAACTGTGTGTGAGCAGGGGGTGTTGTTTCACAATCGAAGAAAGCTCATTCCTCACTGCCTGGGCTTGCTGTGTAGGGGACTTGTGAGCGCATCACACAGCCACGGGGTTTCACTTAAACTAAAGCAGAATGTCTAGCTCCACAATGTCATTTTTTCAGAGGAAGATGGGGGTTCTAGAGGCCAAGGTCAGGGATCAGGGATGGATGCACTGTATTGCTCCATGAAAAGCCTTGTGTGGGGCTCACACTTCCAAGGACAGCTGGACAGCTCCAGAACTTATATTTGCAAATCCAGAACTAGTGGCCACTCATGAGCACAAGAGGTCCCAAGATGTGTTACAAGGTTTTCCTTCCCCACAAGGGGCTGAGCCTACCAGTTTTCTTTCGCAGCACAATTAAGGTCATCAAGCTAAAGCACAGCCAAGATTTGCTTCTGTTCTTTTTGAAGTGACTGGAACATCCTCACTCAGGGTTTCCCACATGCGTTTAGGAGCCAACAGACCACGTGTGTGCAAGTGGCTGCCTGTCCTGAGCTTACTCTGGCCTCTCTTGCACTGGGCAGCCAGAAACCTGCACCCCCTGAGTGGATGGAGGGTCAGTGACTCCAGAGCACTCTGAAGTGTCTTGTGTCTGAACATCATCCCTCCAGCACCACAGCTGCTCTCTGAGCCGGGGCAGCCGTGCAGCTATAAAGGAAGAAGGTCTGCTGGGCTGGTGTGGGTCTCAGCACAAACCCAGGACAGAACAAACACAGAATGCCTCAAAGCGCAGCTCGGGCCAGTCAAGCGAGCCTGATGCAATGCCATTCAGACAAGAGTGCATCGAGCAAATCCTACCAACGGTAGGATCGGATTCCCAGTGACAGGGCACAGGAGCAAGTCGTGCTTCACGTGAACATGCTCATGTGGGTGCCCAACTTGGGACGAAAAGCAGTGGAACTGCCCTGATTCTGCTGCTTGGGAGAGGCCGCATAGGGGCATTTTATGCCAGGGCACAGGCTTTCCTGCAGCTCTTTCTGGGGCAGCGCAGGGAATGGGGAGAGTGGGAATGCTGGGGCTACAAATATGTGGCGCCATTAACCCAAACCGCAGCATGACAACAAACCACAGCCTCTCTCGTTTGGCTCACAGCTGTCTTTGGCAAGACAACTAATAAATCCCATTGGAATTCACTGGTCCCAAATCTGCACTTTGGTGACTCAGTCTGAATAGACTGAAAAGTGAAAATGGCCTGGCACGAACCGGGGTAAGCGGGGGCTCCCACTCAGCCAATGAAGGCGGTCTGGGGGTGAAGCTGGCCTTGAGTATATAAAGGGCATGATAACCTCAAACATTGTTCATTAGGGTCTCAGCTCCTCCGGTTTCAGCAGGGAAGCACAAAATACCCAGCCCAGAGGGAGGAGAAATAAAGTCAGAGCTGTGATGGGACAGCAAGAAGAGCCTTTCTGGCCTCTTTGTGTGAATCAGAAACACATTGGTCTGTAAAGCACAGACACCGCGTGTTTATTTAGGGATGCCTGGGTTGTTTCCCCCTCTTTTTCTGTGTGTTTGCACTGGTCTGTCCGTTCACACGGCGCGAAGGCCAGTTCTCCATCCACTCCAACGCAGCCGGGGTTATTCCGCACCGCATCCACCCCGCACCCGCTAGCTCCGAAGGGCAGCGCCACCCTCCCGGACCCACTTCTCAGCCACACCGGGCAGCTGCCCACTTGCCACGGCCCAGTCCCGGGGCCCGTCCCGGAGCCCCTCCGCTGCAGCCGGGACACGGCCACGGGCCCAGGGAGCCCCGTGTGGACACACGCCGGGGCCCTGCCCACTGCTCCCCCCGCCAGCAGCGAGCGAGACGTCGGGGCTTTGCCACCCTGCGCCCGCCGGGCACCTGCCCGGACCCGCCCCGCCCCGGAGCCCGCGGGCACCTGCCCGGACCCGCCCCGCCCCGGTACGGAGCCCGCAGCACCTGCCCGGACCTGCCCCGTCCGCGGAGCCCGCTCCCGGCCCGGCGCCTCACCTGGCTGGCGGCCTGCGCGGCGGCGGCGAGGAGCGAGAGGCGCAGCACGGCCAGGCCGAGCGCCCCCATGGCCGCGGGGAGGTGCGGGGCCGGCCTGGCCGCAGAGCCCGTCGCTCACGGCAGCCTCGTGGGCTCTGCGCCGCCCGGCCCCTTCCAGGCGGCTCCACCGGGGGCAGCGGGAGGCGGAGCCACGAGTGACAGCCCAGGGCCCGCC